GATAACATGTATATTACAGTGATATTAATTCAATGCTTAGAACAAAGAGAGAGAGAGGCAGAACAGTTAAACATGGCATTAGCATTAGCATTATACTTGTAGCCTTGTCGTGAGTGGATCCCATGGCCCCCTGAAGGTAGTCGATGGGGTTCTGAATCTCGCTCACATCTAGGGCAGTAGTGATCATGGTTGGGGTTAGTGTATGTTCAAGGATTTAGCACAGTGTTTGTTATTACTAACGTTGTGGAGAGTAGGATGTAGGGCTAGGGTTGCGACTCATTTGAGCCCCATTTTATTTATTATCATTCATTGTTTCCCATGGTGTCCAGGTTGTGTGGAACATTCATGCGGCTTTGCTATTGGGTAGGGCCATGCGTTAAAAAATATAGAATTGTTGCATCTTATCCCATAGCTGGGTTTTGATTGGGCAAAGGATGGATTTACAGTGTAGGGCTAAGAGGTTGTGGGCTGCTAGAAGGGTGATTGCACTCAGCTGTTTGTGTGCTTTATCAAGTAGTGGTGGGAACAGCATTAGTAGATATATCTCAGGGGCTCTTGGTATGACAGGGACCTGAAGGGCGAGAAGCATGTGTTGTACCTTAGTGTGAAAGGTATGCTTAGTCTCCAGGGTGTCAAAAAAGGCATTCCAAAATTTGAGAGTAAGTATTGTGGTGGGGAGCAGATCAGGCTTGGGTGTTCTAAGCAGTTTGGGCGTCCACAGGGTGTCCACTATTGTGTTTCTGTGGAACTGGGCATTCTCCATGTCTACCCATTGAATTTTCCCCTCTGGGGCGTGTAACATCCCCGCTGTTAAAGCCAGGGCTTTGTAGTATAGTATGTTGGGTAGTCCCACGCCTCCTTGTTTTGAGTGTCTTTGTAACACCGCATGTGGTATATGTGGTCTTTTATTCCCCCAAATAAATGTGTTGCATGTACCTTGTAGAGATTTGATGAGTGTCGGTGGTATCTGTATAGGGTGCATACTGAAAATATAGAATATTTCTGGTAGGATCACCATCTTGTATGCATTGTTTTTCCCCAGCCACGATATGGACATCTGTGTAAGGTGGTTTAGCTTTACTACATCTGCTATTGATGTTGCAATCTTGACACCCAGGTATGTTAGAATAATGTTAGACAGTATTTTAGATACTCTCCAGTCAAAGGGATACATTTCCTTTAGGGTGTCCTTGGTTGTCGTGGGAAGTCTGGGCAGGGCTTGGGTTTTATCCTGGTTCAGGCAGTAATGTGAAATAGTACCAAACTCTGTCAGGGTCTCCATAAGGTGCGGCACTGACACATCTGGGTTTTCCAGTGTTACTAGGACATCATCAGCAAATAGCGACAGTTTCTATTCTTGTCTGAGCACTTGGATTCCCCAAATGTTTGGGTGAGTGTGGATTTTTTGGGCCAGGGGTTCCAGAGGATGTAGAGTAGTCCCGTTTGTTATAGGAAACGTGTTTGAGAGAAAACCCCCGTGTGAAACCTTGGCTGCTAGTGCAGCATAAAACGCCATAATCCTTTTGATAATCTCAGGGGGAAATCCATATTTTTTTATAAGCACTCGTTGCATGCATGCCCAGTTGAGTCGGTCAAAGGCCTTCTCCGCATCAAGTGCGAGGAGGAGGCCCCTGACCAAGCTGCGCTCCAAACCTTTCGGGTGTTATCCGATCCCTGGCGCCCTTTGACGAACCCCGATTGGTCGTTATGTACCAAGCCGCCTAACATTGAGGCAAGTTGGTTGCTAAGTATTTTTGCATACAATTTGGTATCGCTATTTAGGAGGGATATTGGTCTGAAATTTTTGCAGGTAGTAGGGGCTTTGCCAGGTTTGGGTAAGGTGGAGATGTGAGCCATGAGAATCTCAGTCGGCTATGCACAGTTTGATTGTCATTAGGGCTGCTATGTTTGAATGCTATGTTGGTGTAGGTATTCTTTGTAATATCTGTTGTGAAGACCATCCAGTCCCGGGGATTAATTTGTGGGCAGGTCTGCTATGGCTTTTGAGAGCTCTTCAAGGGATATTGGTTGCTGAAGGTGTCTTACATTTTCTAGTGACAGGGATGGTAAGTGGACATCTGCCAAGAACTTATCAATATCCCCGGGAGTGGGAACTGCCATCTCCCCATCATCTTCCAGGTTATACAGTTGGTGGTAATAATTAGAAAACTCATTTACAATCATTTTCAGGTCTATCATTTTTTTGACTCTTGTCATTGTTTAGGAAGGCTATCCGTGAGGCAGCTGATCTTTGTTTGAGCTGTGAGTCCAATTTTACTCCTGCTCTATTTCCAGAAGCAAAGAATTTATGTTTAACTTTTTGTAAGAGGTATGTTGTTTTAGCTAATTCAAAGTCTCGCAGTGTGGTCTGCAATTTAAGCAGGGCAGCTGGCTGGTGGGGGTGGACTGCTGTGCGCTTGGTCGCCTTCCATCAGCTCCGCAATGAGTACTGCTTTAGATTTGTTGCTAGCGCTTTTTCCTCTAGCCTCCAGCAGTTCCTTTAGCGTCTGCCTCTTTAACGCCGTGTAATCCGTCCCCATTCACTGATCGCTTTCGTCTGCTTGTTTCATACAAATTGCCTTTCCCTTTTTCCATTCGGTTGATCCTTTCATTCGAATGCGCTGTATTCGGCTGTATAGTTGGATCCCATCGCTTGCCACCAATTGTAGCTGAACGCCAATAATAAATCCACGAATTCCGCTGGTTCAGGAAATAATCCACAGTCAAGCGCTGAAACAACAAGGCAAGATCCCCAACCTCCCAGTAACCGGACGAGACACAGTTCTGAGAGTCAACTGAAATCCTTTAATTCGGCTGGACAATTTATACAAGTCCCCATGCAAGGGGTCTCCTGAGTCCCTTCCCAGGGGCACTCCCAGAGAGGACTACATGGGGGACTTACATGACAACATATTTCTCCCATCAGGCACCGCTGCACGAGAGGGATCCTCCTCCTAGAACACACCGTTAAGTGGATTATCCCCTCGTGCAGCAGAACCGACAATTTACACAAAAATCCATAATTTGGTTAATATACGGTGGATTTACACGAATGAACGTTCGGTAGATAGCTGGGGTCTGAGCGCATCATTCGTGAGATTACCGCTCAGATCCCAGCTAAAATAACCGAACGCCGCACGAAAAACACATTTCTTATAAAACATATGAAAAAGACCGATTGCTTTCAGGGAACAAAATCCCGAATGGCCCGAAACTCCCGAACGTCCTGGAAGCTCAGCGGTGTTCGTGCCGTCGAGTAGCCGTTTTTAGTACCATGCGCTCGACGACCTAGCACCGCTGAGGGAACAAAGGATTGTGGGGATATTTATGGGATAATAATAGTAACAGTGAGAATTGCCCACTAATTCAATTCTCAGATCCCAAAGAACGTTTATCGTGTTAAGTGGAATGTATTTCATATAATAATATCACAATGTATAAAAATAGATTTTTATTTATAATAACAAATTAATAATAATATGTAACATGCATGATAATAATCAATGAATATCCAGTACAAAATTATATGCAATACAAAGAAATGGGTATTACGTTTCAATGGCTATTAACTCATTATCTGTCAAGACTTCTACGATTTATGAGGTATCCTTAACACAGGCTGAAAGTGAAACTTTTCACACAGAGAACAGAATTCCTCAGAGTGCAGCATAAGGTCGTAAAGTTTAGCAGACAGTTAGAATAACCCTTTCAATGCTGGCTAGATCTCCTAGGTAGTTAAGATCTATTCTTATGTAATTTTTAAATAAAATAACATTTAAACCAGTTTAAATTCATTTTCTTAACCCATCCAATAAGAGAATCTAACATTATATAAGCAGATTTTTAATTTGTCTAAAAGATATCTATCTTAATTTAGAGCAAATCAATACACCTGGATAAAAACAGCGGTATGCTAACACGTGATAATATCACATCAATATATAATTATTCTTAATTCCACCTGCAGAATGGAATATTTATAACTATATATTCTTAGTTAACTAAGATTTCTTAATATGGAAATCTGACCGTGCTTTATCCAGTCATATATAATGCTATTAATACATTTTAATTAATTTAATTTAATTAAATGAAACCAGTATAATTACCAGTTGAGTAGATATTTCATCCGATTGGTAGTCTCTCTGCATGGAGGTGTTGGTTAGAAAGTCAGTAAATTCTAAGTGTTAGAGTTTTAGGAGTAGAGTGTTAGTCTCAGATGTTGTCCGAGTTGGAGTCCCCAAACTTCCAATTCCTCTCTCCTCTCCTTTGCATATCTTGCATCTGCCTCCTCTCTCGTATATCTCTATCTTCCCTTTGTCTTAACTTTTAAAGGGCCAGACTCTCTGTACGTCATCAGTTGATAACCCAATAGAAGCACTAGAGGTGTGGTTATCTTCCAGATCGCAAATTAGTTATTTGGTCTGTAGAGGGCAGTCTTGTCCCACTAAACATACCTATCCAGGAAAGAGTTAACTTTTCCTGGTGGCTATTTTGACGTCATTTTGGCCTATCTAGATAGTGGCTATAACTTACGTATCGTTCAAAGATCAAAGGGGTTCTTACATTTTGTCCAGACTTTGTGTCTGCAAATCTGAGTTTTTTTCTGATATGGCAGATCATGAACTAAGTTTACCCTTTTCCATACAATGGTACCTTATATATATAGACAGTTAAATATTAAATTATTTAATCTTCTCTGTCACAATTGTCTGGGTTTAGATTTGATTATATTCTTTTAGCATTAGACAGTCTGTCCAACCCCCTTCCTTATCACTTGTTTATACTATGCATTCCTTATCTCTGGCAAAGAGGCCAGTCTTACAGAAAGAAATCTAGTGTCTTCTTTGTTAACTTGAAATAACAAAATGGAGTCTAGTCTGTTCAGAGTGACTCAGAATATACACTTTTAGTTTCTATCATAGCACAAAATGTCTGCCGATATAAATACCCTGACATAACCCCCCTTTAGTGCATTTCATAGCCAAAATTAATTTAGCTTATGAATAAGCACTATAGAAGTTACAGACATATTGTGCAATCACATCATTTCTAACATAGTACATTATTTTCATTTGACAAATGTCTTTGGGAGTTACATATGGTATGGTCAATAAAAAGCAAATCTCCATACGTTCCGGATCAATTAAGAGAGGTATAGCGCTCCCCATCTCAAAGGCCAGATTTAATTGCATAGGCTCAATTGTCTCTCCATCCACATTGGCAAGCATCGCATGAACAATATCCTTGGATACAAAATACAGAGGTATGCGTCCCCCTGCCAATTCGATCATTCCAGTTTGCACTTCGTCAAGAAAAGCAAGTGTGTGGAACAATATTGGGTCATGCAGAAATAAAAGTTCACGCTTGAATAAGTCATGACTTTGGTGCAACTCAGTGGATTTGGCAATTAACTCTGAATGCAAATTTGTTGTAACAACTGTGTCTTCCACAATAGTTAACACGTCTTGGAGAAGTGTTCTTTGCTGTTGTATCACCTGATGAATATCGTTAATGTGTTGCTTTAGCGCATAGATTTCCATATCCAGCTTTTGGACAGTAATAGAGTTGGCTGCAGACATTCCAGTTGCGACAACTGCACCGACAGTGGCACAAACTAATGCAACAATTATAGCGGTGAGGAACCTTTTGGGTCGGTTGCTCATCGGAATAGAACTGGATACAAATGGTTTCCGGGCTTGCTCCAAGATGTTTCGCACACGGTCCTGTGCTCTTTGGAGGTGCATCTGGTACCAAGTCTGTAACTCAGGAAGCTGCATCGATGAAATGTTGTATGCCTTCTCGATGGAAATCTTGGGGTCCAAGCTGACGAACACACGTCGGGTCAGGATCCTCTTCTCTGTTAAGATGAACCCTGGTGTCTCTTGAATCAGGATGCCGGAGGATGGTCCCATCTCTGCGATCGGGTCGGTCCGTAGCTCTTGGCACAGGAGCAGTACGATCCAGAAACACGCCACATCCTTCTTGGACATCTTTCGACAGTCACGGATCAGGAACTCGTTTCAGACTTATCTACTAATGATTCAAGGTTTGTTAAGCATACAAACTTATAACAGTGTGACATCACTTGGCCTAGGTCAACACATTTTTACGATTCATCACATATGTATTCTGTCTAATTCTATTTTTATAACTTCATCCCTCACTACATTTATTACTGACTCTTCAGCAATTTGCCTATAGCATTTAAACAAGCTAGTAACCTGCTTATAAAATGTAGTTATTGGATGGCAAGGAAATGGTTAATGACATGAACGTACATGAGATCATGGCACATCACAACATTTCACATCATACTATACCACGTGAATCAAGCATTCATCCAGGTTAGTCGTTCACCCTTCTGCGTCTGAATCCACACCTATAATCCTTAATTGAGATTTAGGATGACAAGCACGCAACTGGTTAATGTGAACCCACTTTTCAATAAAATCACCATCCTTAGGAATTTTTATCTTGTACGCTACTGGGGAAATTTTGTCAATGATGACATATGGCCCTTTCCAAGAAGGTAAAAATTTCTTTTCCTTTACTTGATTTCGCGCAAAGTTATACAGATAGACTTGATCTGTTATCTCATATTCCTTTTTCGTGGTTTTTAGATCGTAATAGGTCTTAACCCTGTCGCTGCTTTTTCTAGATTCTTTTGGGCAAAAGCAAATGCATGCTGTAAATGCTTGCGCAAATCTTCGATATACTGATGCGTAGTGGCAGCATTGATCAAGTTATGATCCGAAGTACGATATAGTAAATGCTGTGGTAAAACCATCTTTCTTCCTGTCATCAATTCAAAAGGTGACAATTTGGTAGCAGTGCTAGGTGTAGCTCTAATCGCCATTAAAACTAGGGGCAATTTAATGTCCCAGTCTTTACCAGACTCCTTAACATATTTCTTCAGAATATTAACGATAGACTGGTTATATCGCTCTACCCCCCCGCTAGACGCAGCGCGGTATGCAATATGTAGCTTTCGTTTAACACCTAGAATGTTCCACATCTTAGCCATTACTTCGCTGGTAAAATGACTACCTCTGTCTGACTCAATTCTTTGAGGCAGACCGAACCTGGAAAAGACATGGTTAATCAACAAAGTGGCGCACACGGTACTCGTGTTCTCTTTACAAGGCAAACATTCTATCCACTTTGTGTACATACATGTAACGGTTAACATGTATTTGTTACCTCTTGAAGATCTTGTTACAGGACCTATAAAGTCAATTTGAATATCAGACCAGGGTAATGACACCCCCCTCTTCTGAAGTGGTGCACGATGGGTTGGACCATGGGGTTGATATTGCGGACAAATCAAGCATCCCTGACAGTATGTCTTAACATCCCTTAACATGTGTGGCCAATATGCATAATCACGCAATATCTCATATGTGATCTTATCACCACGATGCCCAGATGTAGGTGCATCATGTGCGTGTTGGAGCATTAACCCTCTGTATACAGTTGGGACTACCCATTGTTGTATACCATGTTTAGAAGTTCTGACCAGTAACCCATCCATGATACTAAATTGGACTTTATATCTCATCAAGATTCGTAAATCTTCATTATCTTTGCAATCCTCATCTGTGATGGGATTGGCAGTAGGGTCTTCTATATGTCTATAGAATATGCCTATGACGGGATCGTTCTTTTGACTAGTAATCAGGTCCTCACTAGGAGCTTCTTGACTCCATTGCACGACGTTTAAGTCGGCATTATCTCTAGCCTGTCGTCTAGTTATGGCTTCAACATGAATTGAACCCATAAGATCATCAATGTTTAGGGTTTCACCATTGATGGCAGCTTGTTTTGCCAGTGAATCGGCTAAGTCATTACCATCCTTGTCAATACCTTCTATTTTAGAATGGCCTTTGGTTTTCTTCCAATATATGGTTAAACCATTTACCTTAACCAGTTCATCGATTTTACAAAACAATTTCCCATGTTTAACAGGTTTGTTATTGCTTTTCAGCATTTGGTTACGTTTCCAGCTAGGCAGATATTCGACGAAACTGTTGCGAACATAGTTAGAATCAGTTATAATAACAAATTCTTTGATACCATATTCTATTGCCATTTGAATGGTCTTATACACTGCACAGAGTTCGGCTATCTGACTGCTTTTGGGACCAATATTGTATCCTATAGATACATTAGGATAATCACCTGTCCAGGCGATTCCGATACCTGCAACTAACTTCCGTTCAGCACCAGCGACGTGGTGATATGAACAACCATCAATGTATACCCACGGTAGTGGTCGACAGTATTCCTCGTCATAAACTTTATAAGGAGATAGCAATTGCTCTTCTAGGAAGTCATCTCCGGTGTCATTATCATCCAGAGATGGAGCAGTACAGTCATGTAATTCTGCTAAACCTTGGGCAACTGGGCTTCTCTTATTATGTTTATAATGGACTTCTAACGGCCATCCCTGTAAGGATAGAGTCCATGCAGTAATCCGACTGTTAGAGAGATTACCGTCTCTAATTCTTTCACTCTGCAGATACTGTAGAGGTTGGTGAGCTGTTTCTACAATTATTTTCTCACCTTGGATATAGCTACGAAAATTTTGTAGTGCCCAGACAGTCGACAATAACGCCTTCTCACACGTGTTGAATTTAACTTCAACAGGTGACAAAGTCTTGCTAGCATATGCAATAACTTTGTTTAAACTGTCCTGCTTCTGATACAGAACAGCACTTATGCTTAAATCGGTATATCCTGTCTCCAGATAGAAGGGTTTACCCCCCTCTGGGTATGCTAAACAGGGTGCCTGAGTGAGCTTCCTCCTCAGTTCACTTACCGCTTGGTCCTGAGGCTCCCCCCAGTTCCAGGTAGTTTCCTTTTTAAGCAGGTGTAAGAGTGGTTTAGTTATTTCTGCATAGTTATCTATAAACTTACGGGAGTAGTTAGTCATACCAAGGAACGATCTTAATTCCCTGATGTTTGAAGGTGTTTTAGCCTTTAGTACGGCTTCAACCTTCTTCCTCTGGGGATTTAATCCTTCAGAAGTTACCTCATGTCCGAGGAAATTGACATGGGTGCGACACCATTGTGCCTTTTGTAAAGACAGTTTAATCCCTGCCTCTCTTAACTGAGTGAGAACATGTCTAATCTCTAAGATATGCTTATCAAAGGAAGTGCTTTTCAGCAAGACATCGTCGACATATGATAACGTTCCTCTCTCGAGTGCGTCAGGCATAGCTTTATGCATGAACACAGCGAATTCATGACCAGAGTTTATATAACCGAAAGGCATACGGGTCCAGGTATACTGCTGCTTTCCAAATGTGAAGGCCAATTTGTATTGGTCTTCATTATGGACTGGTACAGTCCAATATCCCTGCGCACAGTCAATGGCAGTGAATATTTTGGATCCCTGCATTTGTACCAAACATTGGTCTATGTATGGCGTTGGCCAACCAGACATATAGACGCGTTTATTTAGCTGTCGTAAGTCAGCGCATAAACGCCATTGTCCATTAGGTTTCAGAATCCCCAAGATCGGATTATTATACGAACTGTGCACTGGACGTATAATGCCCCTTTCCTTTAAATTCTGAATGATGTCTTGTAGACCATCATATGACGCTAATGGGAGTCTATATTGTTTGATAAATACAGGTGGTAAATTTGGATCAGTTTGTATTCTGGCTACGTGGAGGTTAGTTAACCCACAGTCGTAGGAATCTTTGGCAAAAATATCTTGGAATTCCAAAAGGATTTCCTTTAGCTGTTGCCGCTCAGCATCGTTGGAGCAACCGTCAGCTAAAGATATTTGCTCTTCTAGCCTTTCCTGAAATCCTGGAAAGATTTCAGGCTGGCCTATCTCATAAGCTTCTTCAAGCCTAGAAGTTAGGTCAGTTCGGTGTTGACTTACCTTTTCTCTTTGGTCGTGATACTCTTGTGATTCCTGCTCATTGAGCGGATGATCGAAGGTGATTGATGCTTCTTCGATTTTACACGAGCCTTCTTCATCGTTGAAGGGATATACAGATAGGATAGTGAATAATCCTTCTGGGGAGGAATGGAATATTTGATCGACAATTTCGTCCTCAGTTAAATATTCTTCAGGGATGAGGCCTATAATTTGGTTTTGGAAACCAAATGTATAGTACTCAGCATCCAATGCTAGACCTAATAATGTTCCTTTTGGTAAAGTAACACTATTGGGTGTAACATTGTTGACCATGATATAGGTGGGATTCTTACCAATACTTACCATTGGTGTATGTGTTACCACCATCCCTAATTGTTGTATCCTGTTGGATAAACAGATTAGGGCATCAGAGTTTTCTAATCTCTGACCCTCCTTGACCTGTATGGGTAAAAGAAAGTTACTTGTCCCCTGTGGAATGGTTATGTCATCAGGAACTTGGATACTTACCGCATATGGGAGTATTTGTCCTGATTTCAGGGCGTTTTCCTCGTGTAGGTATCCACAAGGATTACCTTTTAACCTTGTCCACAAGTTGGAATTAATCAGGTCAAGGTGTATGGCAAAGCGATGTATGACATCATTGCCAGCGTAAACCTGATAGCGAGGTTCGTCTATCACTAGGAATAAATGTTTAACTGTCTTATTTCCGATGGAAATAGATAGTAAACATTTTGCTATCACATTGTGACTCTCTGATTCGCCATCCAGATTCTGGATCCACCTGTCATGTGGGGAAGCGTACCTGATCATTTTAGGATTAGCGATCTGCTTTAACAGACTTCTGCTAATATAGCTGTTCTCACTCTGTAAGTCCAGCTTTGCATTCCTACTTCTTCCTAAGTCATTTATTTGCATAGGAAAGAATAAATTGTTATTAACCCTTTCAATTCTGGCAAGGAATTGAGCATGACCTGCCAGATCTACAGATTCAACATAGTCCCTGTGGAGAGAAATGGTTAAAACATCACCTTCCAGAGAGACATTCTGGATCCTCTCTGGAGCAATTCTTATGGAATGCTCATCTACAGGTGCGAT